GAACTGTATTCAGGGGTCGCGGCATCAGGAAGGTTGAGAACCGCTGCTCTAGAGGGTTTGACTTGACCTGTGTTCCTTAGTGGTAGGCGGGGCCTCATGTGGCTCGCACGAGCCACAGCTGCAGACAACACTGCTTTTCAAAGAGACCAGACCACGAGTTGTTCCCTGTGGACGGAAGGACAGGCCCAGCACTGACCTCTTTCCGCAGATTTCGCAGATGTATGGTTTTTCACCAGAATGCCGACGTAAGTGAGTCTGCAAGTTACCTGCCTGCAAAAAAGGACAAGAAAAAGCATACTGATAATAAAAGGGTTTCTTAAAAAAAGGTTACATACATTCAGAGGAAAACAGACAGAGTTAACCAGGTTCCAGTCCAACTTCCACATGAAGACTGGATACACACAACTCCAAAGGAGAAACATGCAAGGAGGTCCAAGACTGGCCCAGTTCTAACTGGCGAGGGGCCCCGCCCAGCGTCTGCTGAACACTGACGCATCTCAGGTCTGTGCTCTGAGCAAAGGGCTGCCCATGAACCCGGCATGTCCGTCTTGGGCACACACTGTGCCGCCTTCTTAAAGGGGCCGACACACGGTGCGGGCTGCTGGTGGCCGCTAAGCTTGTATTTTAAACAGACCTTGATGTATTATTTCGTATATTTTTAAACTTGGACCACCTATATGCAAGCATCATTTGAAAAACAAAAGTAGCGCTTGTACATGGTTATTTCACATTCATTGTTTCTTCCTAAAAAAACATGCGTTCTTAAGGAAGGTAGGCATTTACAAACAGTCTTTCCTCGTTCTGCCTGACGGGCTTGTCATTGTGGCCTTTGTGCAGAAATGCAAACCAGGACAGTTGCAGCACTCAGTTGCAGGGTCTCTATGCTCCACATTTCTGACCCCACAGGGCTTTACAAAGAATAACATTCAAATGGAAATCGCAAAATAGACTTCCATGTGCCAATCTATAGGAAATCAATATTAAATTGCCTAGAGTGAAACCAAGACTGCAAATGCCTCAGATATTTAAGAAGCTCCTGTCTCGTTAGGACTGGGAAACAAAAGCTCTCATTGCTATAACTTACGTCAACAGCCTCAGTCTGTCATCCTCCCTACTTGAAGTTTATATAAAGTGTTCTGTTAAAAAAACCCAAAACCTGAAATGAGTGAGTATACCCAAGAGTAATAATACACAGGCATTATGCACAAAATAAGCCAAAAAGGGAGAATGAACAGTAACACTCAGCTAACAAACTTGGCTTTGTAACTTTGCAAATTATGAAATAAAATGCGAAGATCGTTCACAGCTATAGGTTTGAAAATGGGTGTAAAATCCACCCGTGAGTGGAAACGTACAGGTGTAAAAAATGCTGTCTCAATCTTATGTTATATAACAGAGAATCCTCTTCATGGCTCTCAGACTCTGGGAAGCACAGTGTGGGATACTACCTTTCACAATATAGAAATATGGCTTAGAAAAACACTCGGGTTTATTTTAGTTAACTGAAGAGAAAGAACCTGCACAATATTGGGAAATACCCAACGTTTAATAGAGTGACAATAAATAACAATACTAAAGCAACACATGCCAACAGCAATACACGTTTGGTCTCCTTAGGCCTTTCCACGCATTCGCAAATTACCCACAGTAACTGGTATTGGGATCTCCATTTTCTACATGAAAAACAGGTTCAGGCAAAAACATAGTTGGGCCATAAATTAATAATGGTGTGTGAGTCTGAGGGGAGAACCTGAGCCCACGCAAGTTTCTGTGAATAAACTCGCTCGTGTTGAGTACTCAGGATGAGAAACAGTCACTGGCACTCAGGAAACGGCTCACTGGGGTTAAGATAACACACGGCTGTGTGAAATCAGTCACTTCCAAATGTCAAAAAAGCTCATCTGTGATATAACAATTCCAACAGCACCATCTGCTCAACTGTTAAATTAGCTCCCTCGTTCCAAGTTATTTTGTAAGCTATGTAGGATTGAAATTCAGTCTCTGAATCAATTCTTAGCAATGCTGCATTTTTCCTATTTAAGTAGAGCATAACAATTACTTGTTTTCCAAGCAAATGTAATCCAGCGGTCTTCCACTCATAAGAAGCAATAGTAAAATTTTAAAAAATGTTTCTTTAGCTGTTTAGCTATTTAGCTAATAGTGGAAATGGGTAATAAAAATAATTCTATTTCCAGATAAAGGAGCACATATTAGTCTGATAAATGACATAAAAGTAGATTAAATAATGGAAAAATTCAGGCAAAAAGTCGAATAATGTATTCAGTAATTTATACCAAATAACGGAGCCCAGATTATTTGACCTTTAGTCAAGTGTTTTTATTTTTAGAAACTTGGATACGCTCTAATTATATGCTGAGTACACAGACCGTGTCTTAGAAACTGTCGATAGCTGGACCCCTGAAAACTAGTGGTAATGGTAAGAACAGCTATCCCGCCCTAAGACATTACAGTGAGGAACGCTATGCTGAGCAGTGACAACTGGCATTTCACGTTGTTGGCATCACAACGTCCTTAGGAAGCAGTACGGTTCCCATTTCACAGAAAAGTGACCAGAGACTCTGGGAGAGAAGTGATCAGCCTGGGCCCCTGCGGTGGATAAAATATTCTAATTCAGGTTTGTCTGTGGACATCAAAACCTGTGCTGCCGTGTGCTGTTTAGCTGTGATAAAGGATAGCAGCAGTAAAGAAGTTCTATTCTTTCCAAGCAAACATCATTTTAAATTAAGATGGAGTTGTCAGAATTTTGAACAGAAGCATTCTGTTGTAGAAAAGAACATCTGATTTGTTAAGTAATTTTAAAAATACTGTGAACTCCTTCTACTATGTACTTGACCATCAGTATTTAAACATGAACAAACCAAGCATATCATTCTCTATCAGAGTGCCCTTCTAATGGCAGCTGATTGCTTATATAAAAAAGTTAGGAAATCATAAAACTTGAGAGATAAAAGGGATCTCAGACCTTAAAAGTCAGTTGTAAGACTGGTTCAGTTCTGAGACTTCAGGATTTCACAAAGTAATAAAATTAAAATGGAAAAAATCTGGAGATTAACACAGAGATGTCACCTGAACAAAAATGATCATTATACTGATAAAAGGACATTTAACACCAAAAGTGTGGGAACTATCACCCCAAGAGTTGAAAATTTAGTAACCTGGGAAAAGTTCACTTAAATACTCTTATTGCTGCCTTTTCACCAGGGATGGGCTACAGCTTTGTCACCTCTGGCCTCAGGCCATGTACCGAGGCCGCGTCCTACAGAATGCTGCATGTCCCTTCCGGACAGCACCGTGGGAGGACAGCTAACCTCTCAAAACCTGACTTTCTGCACCAGCTGCTCAGTGTTCCTGTTTCTGCCTCCTCGGAGAGACGAAACCACTCGGCTCCTCTCCTGCAGAGCTAAATACACCGTTTTCCTTCCCCTGCCCTCATGTGAGAGGCATTCCAGCCCCGCCACTATCTTAGCTTTCCCCTGTGGACGCACCCAGCGGTCCAGCTTCTACTCCCCACAGGAGACCCACCACGCCAAACAGAGGCTCATTCGTGCTCTGACGTATGGCATGCCTCTCACTTCCTGAGGTCTGGGCAGATACAGTGTCCACAGTTATATTAACGCATGTATTAATCTATTCTGTGGTCACAGTCTAGGATTATAGTTTTTTAAAGTTGATGTCCCCACCCCAAACACCACACCTGTCACGTAGAAATGCCAACTCTCTCTCTTTCACATACTGTTCCCTGTACATGTTTCCATCATCGGACTTCCAACGTTTTCTTGTACTCTATCGTTTATACATGTTTCCTCCTCTGAACGCTAGGCTCCTCAAAGCCGCATTCATCTTTGTCCCCCATCACATGGCAGAGCTCCTCGGGCACCGCAGGCTTGCAACACACATACTGAATGACATTTTTTAAGAGTCCCCCTTGTTCACAAAAATGTCTTCATTTCACTATGAAATAAAACAGCAATATACATCTGAAAACCATAACTACACATAACTCTACATTTATAAAATCTGACAAGAAAAAAGATGCTAACACAGAAACAGAGGATTTCTATCGTGTCATTCAGACAGGACTGCCCTCAGGAGGGTTTGGGTGGAAAAGTGCAGGCCGAGGCCTGAAGCAGTGCTGCTAACCCTTAGCTCAGCTGCACATCAAAATCACCGCATGAAAAACGACCAACCCTTGTCCCCCCAAACCAACAGAGCCAGCATCTCTGAGGGTGGTCCGGGCATCAGTTCCAGGAGAGAAGGCTGAGGAGACTGCAAGAGGCCTGGAGGCCTGGCTTTTGCCTTACTTGGTTAGCAAGGGAGAACCACAGAGGGGTTCCAAGCAAGAAGGGGACAGGACCTAGGCTGTTATCACAATTTAAATGTACAAAGGGCTTTCCCGCCCGTTTTTTCATTGAACCCTCCTAACATTCCCCTGAGGTAGTATTATCCCGATTGTAAGAATTACTAAAATGAGGCCCAGAGAAGTTGTGATTGCTAATTACTAATGGTCATTAATCCAGGTCTTAGCTTCCTCACTGCACCAAAAGATTAAAATGGTGTGTGTGGGAGGAGTGGGGACCCAGGGGCTCCGGGAGACTTGTCTGCCAGAGCGAGAGGACTAGAGAGGGAAAGCAGTTGTAGGCCAGGTCAGGACAGGGCGTCTCCCGAGCACTAACTAGGCGCTGGCTCATTTACAAGTACTTGACCTTCTTAACCCATTTGCTCCTTTTTCACACGCTCTACTGGGTCAACAATCTTATTATCCTTGTTTTACACACAAGGAAGCTGAAGTGTCAAAGGTTAGGTGGTTTTCCCAAGGTCACAGAGTATAAGCCAGAGGCAGGATTCAAGTCCAGACAGTCTGGCTCTGCGGGCCAAGCTCTGATCCCCCAGGCTGAGCTGGTGCAAGGCAGCCCCAGCTAGACGGCGGCCATGAATGCTCACTCCAGATGGTTAGCAGCACTTACTGAACACTTAGTGGGGGCCCGGCTTCTCCTGGATGATAAATAACACCTGGCCCCCGCCCAGACTCAACACAAAGGGAGACGTAAACTCAGTGCGTTGCTGCATGCAAGGAGTAGGAAGGGTGAAAAGTAATTAAGATTGCAGGTTTGGGTGCGTGGGAAAACCAAGGGCTGGCTCCGTGGGGAACGTGACAAAGATGGCACTGCTCCTGCTGTCCCGTGCTGGGCAGGGCCTGGCCCCCAGCTCTGACCAGACTCGAGGTCACTATGCCTCAATCAAGGCCCAGCCCCAAGTCCCTCCGCAATGAGACAGCATCTGCAGGTGCTGTGGCACAGGATTCACCATGTGGTGTATAAAACAGTCGTGCGGTGACTGTTTGTGCAGGAATGCACCTGGGCCTGTCAGCAGCTTCTGTCTCGCTGACCTCTGGAATTCAGGGCCCGCCCGGGGTGGATGGACAGTTACCTTCTGTTTCAGAAGGAAAAGTAGGTTCCCACAAGCCTACATTTGAAATTTCCTCTAAAACATTAGATCTAGGTTTGTTTAGGTCTATTGCCCAGATCGACACACAGCCCACAGGATGGTAAAATAAACACCGGCTGAATGAGAGGATGAATACACGGCATCTTAATAGTCAGAGCAGGGAATGAAAGCCGGTCTGTCTGCCAGCTTCCTATCATCTACAGGCCAGGTAGAAGACGAGGAAGTGGTCTTGGATCCAGCCCAGCATAACTGGCAGCCTCCGTGTGTATGTTCAATATGGTTCATTTCATTCATGAAAGAAGAAATATGCTAGGATTGGATCCATCCTGGGGGTGGGGGTGGTGTTACTGTGAGACGTTCACATGCTTATAAAAAATGCTATTTTTTCCCCCAGTGAACTAGAAATTTGTTTTCTTGGAAATTATTTTCTCCTGATTTAGTCTGAAGTCTTTTAAGGTACAGATATCCTTAAGAGGTGTCTCTCACAACTCCAAAACCACGTCTTATTTGTAATAAAAATCAACACTGGGTTTCAGGTTTCCAATTATTAACAATAAATAACAGTATTCCCACCTGAGAGAAATGTTTCCCACAAATGTTACATTCAAAAGGTTTCTCACCTAAAACAAAACAAAATAACAGCTTGTAAAATCATTCTCATTACTTGCACAATAATTTTCTATTTAAAATGTTTACACTCTCTCCCGCGTCTCACCATTCAAAGCAGAGCATTACATTCTTCATCGTAAGCGGATGAAAATGGGGGTTTCTGCACCCTCATCGTCTCTCCCACCCTTACATGATCGGCTGAGATGATAAAAGTGAAATCTATGGTTACTTTTCTCAAAAAAACCAAACTGTTCTCCAAACATAAATCTATGCTGAAGTCAAACTTATGTATCTGCACTCAAACCCCACCTAGGTTTTGGACAGTCTTTCTGTTTGGCTGAAAATCAAATGTGAGTTTTCGTGCTAAATGGCAGGAACCTGTTCACCTGTCCTTCAGCCTTCACTTTACCTGTTTCCTAACAGAACCAGGGTCTGTCTCACACCACATGAGGTGTGAACGTGGGACAGCCCCTCCCCCTTTCAGCCTGAGTTGAACAGGCTGACTGGAAACAAGGTGTCATTATGGGAGATGTGCCCCCTGCTGGCTTCTTACCCACCTGACTTAGTAACTGAATAATTACATCTGGGTATAGACTAGACGGTAGCGAATGAAACTCTACTACAAAGAAACCACAGCAGTTCTGAATATAGTCTCTAGAAAATGATCAGGTTAAAAGTATACTTCAAGGTACCGCCTTTAATCTAACTCGAGTAAATAGACTTGGAAGACCAAGGACCTTCCATTTTCCCCATTCCCCTCAAAGAAGTGGCTTCATTAAGACTGTCTTCAAAAAATAACAATGCCTCCCTTCATATTGCTGGGGCGTGGGGCGTGCCAGCTTTCTGTGCTCCCACCCCGATACTTTCATTTTGATCTTTCCCTGAAACTGTTTAATGGCTTTCTCAAAGATGGGGTGGGTGGGGGAGCTTCTGACTATGAATAATTATAATCATATTAATTCTGTACTTTGGGACAATATTTATGTCTGAAATTATGAGGATAATAGACAATTTAAGCGAAAGCCCCATTACGAGACATGCAAGTTTGAAAAAAGAGGTCACTGGTTACCAAGACTCATAAGTGACCAGGGTTCATAACCCTACTCCAGTGGTTCTCAAACTTTTTGCCCTCAGAACCCCTTCACACTCTTAATAGACGATCCTAAAGAGCTTCTGTTAGGCCTGTATCTGTCAGCGTCACCCATATTAGGAATGATGAAAACTGAGTGACTTCTAACGCACATGACTAGATAGTTCCGTGGCCAGCAGAAAGACGGCCTCACACATCACACACATCTGCAGCCTTCAGCCGACTCCCCTGCACACTAGTGGGAGAAGAAGGCAAAGGCAGGTAACGTCCTGCGCCATGACGGAAGCAGTTCCGGCCTCGCAGACCCGAGGGTTCCCCAGATCGTAACTGGAGAACTGCTGCCCCCTTCTCAACAGAGTTTTTATGTCCCAGGGAGTGTCTCTGCCACGACAGCATGGCTACTGCATTTCAAAGATATTCTCTCAGGATAAACAAGTTTTGTTTCCTTTGAAGCTAAACAGATAAGGCTCTCAAATAAAAATTATAGTGATCATTAGGATCTAAGAAATTTAAGCAAAGAGAATGACCTAAATTAAATTTTTTCAGGACAAAACTGAGTCAATGATCCTGCCTTCATATGGAGTAATTCTTAACTACTACTATTAATAATGATAGTGCTTTATATTCAAATACATTATAATTTATAAAGGGCTTGCATAAATATTGATTAAGTTTCTCAACAATGCACTGAGGTGGTTAGGCAACGACTAGGCAAACTAGGAATCAAAGTGATAACAGGACAGCACATCAATAATCGCAACTGCACAAGCACCTTAAAAGCAGCTATTCCAGAAGCATGCTGTGGCATATTGCTTCTCATGCTTATAAGATAATTGCCATTCATTTGTAATGTGCAGTAAAGTCGTCATGCAGGAAGGGAAATAATATATAAGTATGGTATAACGTAACATATATGTGCTGTGTAGCAGGTATTAAAAAGCTTCTGGAAAAAATAAACTTTTTGGAAATGGGAGGAGGTAGGAATTAAGGTAATAAAACTTTGAAAATTCAACGCTCAGGATGGAAAAATTTTCATTTGAAAATATCAAATGGGTAAAGCTGATCCTTATTGAAAGTATACCTCCTGCCTCCCAAATCAATTTTTAAAATCCGATATTCTAATCATTTTCTAGAAAAATTTTTGAATTACTGAGACGGAATTATTTTAGTCAGAATTAACCTACAGTACGCTTTTAAAGAATAAACTTAATCTAATTCTAAAAAGATAACTAAGTGTAGCTAATCTTTTAGAATTAATCTGAAATGTTTAATGCAGCAAAATAATTTACTACATTTCTTTAGAGATGTAAAGTTTATCATATAAACCCATAATTAAAATAAAAATGAAAAGGGTGACATCTTTTGAAACTGACTCTATGAAAGCAACTATAGAACTTTAAGATTATTCTTGAAGAGGCATCCCAAAAATATAAAATAAAAGTAGCTAACGCTCTTGATTTTTTTTTTTTTGCAAATATCAATGACATGATCAAGCAATAGCAAAACTTCTTACAAAAACAGAAGCAGGCAGTGGTGTCTGATGGTCTGCATACTTTCCTTCCCTTTCGCCTGCGGGGACTGAATCAGTGTACCTGTGTGAGACCGTTTGTGAAGCTCCAAATTGCTTGGGTGTTTAAAAGGTTTCCCACACAATTCACACGCATATTGTCTCTGGGACTGGAGCGTCTGGGACTGGTCTTCCAGGGCCACAGGGTCTTCGGGCCTCTCTGCCTCACTGATGCAATTAAAATTCTCAGAATTGCTGAGTTCTTCACTTTCCTTTTCCTCAGCACTTTGGCTGCCAGCTTTCTCTATAGCATTTTCACCGACACAGTCAGCCCTCTTTGTGAAAGTGCCATCTGACTTGGGCTCAGATGTTTGCTCTGCAGATTTCTGTGACTTTAGGAAATTGAGCTTCTTAAGGTGAATGGCCTTTTTGAGTCTCATCTGTTTGGTAGGTTGTTGGCCTGGGTTGTGCGACTCAGGGTCTGGGGCTGACTCACCCAGAGGATGAGCCAGGAAGTTGGATGGCAAGTGCTCAGCGGACTCCAAGATGCACTCGGGATGGCTGATGGTGCAAGGCTGGTTTTCCACGGCAGTGAGGTCTGTGGAGGTGCTGAAGGTGAAAGGCTGCTCAGTCATTCTCTCCTGACTGGGACAAGCAGCTTGTTTATAGTACTGCTTACTGTAGAAGTTGCGGAGTTTGTAGTAGTAAGTGGGCTGTTTGAAAGGCGGTTCTGTGCAGCCGCCGTCTAATGCATCAGGGGTTTGTTTGGACGCTTCACCTGTAGGGTGAGGAAGGTTACCTGGTGGTGGAGCCTGACAGTGCGATTCATCCAAGACCTTCCCATGCTGGACATCTGCTGAACACTCTTGCAGTAAATGAGGGGAGTAGTTTTCATTCATAACACAGGTAGTGTCAGGAGCCAGGGCGCTTTGCAGGGAGAACGCACCGTTGTCACAAGGCGTGCCAGGTGGCTGTTCCACGGGGGCTGACTTTAAAAACGTGTGACACAGGTTCAGAACATTCTGAACTTGCAGGCACTGCGCTGTGTCCAGCATGACCTGTATATTGTCCTGGGTAAGGTCCAGGTGAGACGTGTACATGAAGTCCAGGATCTGCCCGATGCCGCTCACGTTTTTAATATCCAAGTGAAAGACATCATTCTTCTGGCCTGACGAATTCTGAAAGAGGCTCCTGAAAGAAGAAAAGAGATCTGTTTACAGTGTTAGCAATTCATACATGCTGATAACTTTTTCTTATAAATAATAATCAGGCTAATATTCAAAATCACTATCCTATAAAATATGCCAAGATTTTAAAATTAAATATGCTTCAATCCTTTAAAAAAATTTTGGCAAGCCATCCAATAAAGCAATTCAGATGAATTAAATTAGGATACTGAATATCCAAACTTCCAAGTAGATCTCAAAGTAGAATTGTGAAATATACTAATTGTGGGCCAGCTAAGTGGCTCAGTTGGTTAAGAGCTTGCTTAAGAGTGCGAACTCTGAGCAACAGGGTCGCCGGTTCGATTCCCAAATGGGCCAGTGAGCTGCACCCAAGCTGAGCTGCTACTGATGACTCAGCTGGTGAGAGCACGTGCTCCTAACAAGGTTGCCTGTTTGATTCCCGCATGGGATGGTGGCTACGCCAGCCCGCAACTAAAGACTGAACTCAGCACCTTGAGCTTAGCTGCTACGGGCAGCCAGATGGTGACTGGACTTGGAGCTGAGCTAGCTGTGCCCTCCACAACTAAGACTGAAGGACAACAACTTGGCTTTCCCCTTTCCCGATTCCCCTACACTGTTCCCCTTCCCCAATTAAAAAAAAAAATAGTTCATGTACCTGTGGGTGAATATTAAAAAAAAAAGAAATACACTAATTACTTTTTTCAGAATGTTATTCATATGTATTATTAATTGCATGTAGATATAGAAAACGAAAGAACACACATTTTTCAGTATTTCATGTTTGACAAATTATATATTTCAGGCCATAAAACACATACAAAGATATTTCTATACCTCAGTGCCTTAAAAAAGTCTAAAAATAAAAATAGCTACAATAAAGCAATCCTCAATATACACTCATTTTTTTATTTTAATTTTTAAATTATGGCAAAATATACATACTGATAAGCACTTAACGGTGGTTCAAATGGGAAATGCGGTGGCATTAAGTACTCACGTTCTTGTGAGCCTTCACCACCACCCATTCTCAGAACCTTTTCGTTTTCCTGACCGAAAACTCTGTCCTCATTAAACAACTCCCATCCCCTGCCCCGGGGCAGCCCCATTCTACTTTGTGTCTCTATGCATGTGGCTGCTCTGGAGACCTGAGACACACTCATTTTGTAATTAGTCATTTATCCAGCTGTCAGAGGTGGTTTTTCAGCACCCCAGCAGCCCATAAACCGGCGTCCATAACTCCCCAATGCGCTAATGAGAGAAGGCGCCCTAAAGCCCACACGCCTTATTCTGAGCACAAGTCAAATTCACAGGCGAAGGCATTTGTATTATGTAAAAACACCAAGCTGAGTTAGGTACGTCTTGCAAGCTTGTTGCAGACACTCTATCAGATGCAATCAATCACCTGCTTCCCCAAAACAGCCTTCAATTCTGTTTTCTCAAGGAAAGTACAGATTAGAAGTGGGGTGCAAACAACTCC